TTTTTTTCGATTTTTAGTCTGCAGTGATTGAGAAACGAAGCGCGCCACCATATCCAGAAGAACGAGTAGGACAAAAGCTCATTGTGAAGGTTGCGAAGGTATGCACTATCATATATGCAGTTTATTGAGGTGAAACTGAGTTCTTAGCTCACACTCGATCCATACTTCGAGCCGGTTTTCGGCTCAATAGCGATTTATGATGCCAAGACACGGCGGAAAGTTAGTGAAAATTTTTACTTTGATGTCAATCCGGATGAGGTGCGACGTCTGCTTGATAGGAAGCGTGCTCAAGAGGAACCATCACAGAGGTTTGTAAAGTATTATTCGTTACACATTTCACCATTTCCTGTGCAATTTTTACTGCGGGTCTCATGGTTCAACATATGGCTTTCGGTGGTTTCTCATAGACTTCTCACAACGTTTTGAATTTCAATGAGTTTTTACATCAGCTGAACATGGTCGCACAGACGTTGAACCGTTAATTTTTTGTCTAACCTAGACGCAACAATTTTCTTTCCATCCGCCTTCTGGTAAAATAGCTCTTATTTCAGATGCAGCCAAGCAGCATTCAATCTGTCCTGTCCTCTTAGCGACTTGTTCATGGTTGTGAAGGTGAATTTTTGATGCTATTTCTTTTTCTCGTTTGGCGCCGTTGTTTAGGCTTTTCGTACATGTATTCTGGTAAGATAAAGAAATAATCTTCTCTACAAAAGTTGTATTTTAGCTCGAGAAAGTTCTGCAAGCCTGTGAAATAGGGGATGCATCAGAGCCTTATGTAAGTTGTGCGGCAAAAGATGATCGGACTAGGGAAAAGCTTTCGGCTGCGGCCTCCGATTACTGCGAACGTCTAGGTAGGACGAGTTTTACATCAGTCAGTCAGTCAGCACGTTTATGTAAAAAGCTTACCTTCCCTTCAGGATCCTTTCGGATGCCATTGGGTTTCATGGTAGTTGATCTGCAGAAGGTCCTTATGGGAGCGAATTCCTTAGAACGGTCAGAAATGACCATGTCCACCGTGACGGCAGCGTCTTCGATAACGATGACAGGTAACAGCTAGATACATAGAACTAGTTGTGTCTTCAACGGTTTGAGCTTACAGGCGAGACTCCTGCTCCTCCGGTCAGTGTTATTTC